AATATGGTTCCTAGGGACCAAATTGCTGATATTGTTAGAGAAATGTGTGGACCTATGGCTCGGGGGGTTCAAACTCCTGTGTACAGGAAACCATATCCAGAATAAGTGGATAGGGTGCATGAATACCCAAGAGGGTTTAGAATACCAGACTTTGCTCTTTTTTATGGAAATTGAAACCAGTCAAGAGTAGAACATATTGCTAGGTTCGCTGCCCAATGTGGTGAATTTACCAATAATGATTACATGAAATTAAGACTTTTTTCAAATTCTCTAACTGGGGCAGCTTTTTATGGTATATTAACCTTACACCTGACTCTATCCAAACTTGGCAACAAATAGAGGAGACATTTCATGCTCAATTCTTCCAAACGAAGCCAGAAGTTTCTATGACAGATTTGGCAAGCTTGAGTCAAAGGCCTGATGAGAAGGCTGTTCAATTTATTGCCAGATTCAAAAGAGCACGAAACAAATGTAGGATCATTCTACTGGAGTTTGAATTTGTAAGATTGGCTCAAAATGGTTTAGATTTTAGGCTTCGAAAGAAGTTTGACTCAACTGAGTTCAGAGACTTGGTGGAACTAACTTATAAGGTGTCTAGGTATGAAGCATTACTAGAGGAGGAACAAGATCGAAATAATGCATCATACAAGACATATTATAGAGATTCTAATTATGAGATTGATGTAGCAGAGATTGTTGGGAAAGAACTTGTAATCTGTGAGGCATTAATTCATAAGGACAAAACAATTGACTAGCAGTTTAAAAAGAAAGACCTTCATAGGAAATACTCTTTCGGTTTAACGAAGGCAGATGACATTTTTGATTTTTTGCTTGCAGCCAACTTCCTTAAGTTACCAAAAGGAGTCAAAATTCCATCTACAGATGAACTTAAAGGAAAAGTGTATTGTAAATGACATAATTCTTGGTCTCACTCGACTAAAACTGTATTATTTTTCGAGACAGGATCCAAGAACAAATTCAGAAAAGAAGTTTAAAATTCCCAGTTAAAGCAAAAAAGGCCATGGGGATCGACAGTAATCCATTTCCAGAAGTTGGAAAAAGTGCAGCTAATGTTATTGTACCAGATTTCCAGAATTTATCTTCGCAGGAATTGGGAGAGGTCAATATACAAATGCATGTTGCCAGTCAGGCTACTATTAAGAAAGACACTAGAAGTCTGCCAGTTGTTGGACAAGGCTCTACAAGTCAGGGAAAAGACTTTGATAAAGAAACACTGGATGATGATTACTTAGAGGCAGTAGTTATCCAAAGAATGTGTCCCAGGTGTAGGTTGAGCTATAAGTGGCTGAAAGGGCTCCCGATTGATGGGAAACAATACCATAGGAATGTGCAGAGATGTCCTAAACCAACCAGTGCTTATAACAAAAGGCCATATCCAACTACTCCCAGGCAGCAGCCATTTATGGCTGAATCAGCAGCTACTAGAGTGCAATTCAAGGATAAGAGACCTCTACATGAGTCCAGACCTACCAACTATTACAGAGTGAAGGGCAATCATCCTGAAAGAATGAATGATATAAGCTCAAGTTATGGGATCAAAACCAGAAATTGGCCCCCTAGACCAACCTCACACAAGATAGAAAGTGACCACCTTCGTAGAAGACCTGAATTAGGCCCAAAACAAGGAGTCACGGCTAAGCAATGGCCTTTACAGCCAGCTTCGAAGATGGCTTCAAAGAAGGAAAGAAACAATTCAACAGCTGAGACAGTAAGCTCGTGGGTACCTGGAGTTCCAGACTGCTTTATGATGTAGAGCAAACCTAGGGAAGTATCTACCTAAAGAAATGTTGTTGGAAACCAAGGTAGGATAGTCAAACCTCCTTTGGTGGCTCTAAACAATTGGGTATTGCTTAAACACCCAAAAATAAAGAAACCATATATAGTCCCCGTAATTTCTAGATCACAAAGGAGGAAGATTCAGCGTAGGTACACTCAGTACCAGAAAAATCTGAAAGAAAGTAGAGAAAGCTCTTCATTGGTCTAGACAGAAGGAAAGAGGAATCCAAAGTCAAACCATACTCCAAAACTAACTCTACAAGACAAAATGGGTTGTAGCAAAGAACAATTGGGCAAAGTTTACTTTGAACTAAAAGCCAGATAAAAGTCCAGTCTAGCAGGATTGGAGAAGGCTTTGATAGAGAGTGATAGTGAGACAGAAGAAAAAGTTGGCCTAGGCCAAAAGAAAGAAATGGTTGAGGAGGAAATGTTCGAAGCCTTCATGGCTGAACAGACGTTTTTAGTTGAAAAGCCAGTTAAAATAGACCATTCGAAGGAGTTTGTTAGTAATGAAGTGCCAGAATGCAGCATGGAAGATGCTTCTGAAGTAACTGAACAAGGTGGCCAAGAGGAGAAACAGGCACAACCAGCCATCCAATTTGGCTCGTTTCCTCCAGTATCAGTGAATATGGTATACATACTACCGCATGAATTCTAAGCTGGAGATGAAAACCAAGAGGGTCAAGAAATTGACCCAATTTCAGTCTCTAGTGAAGACTCACAAGTGAGTATGGTGCAAGATGAATCCAGATTTGCTACCCCAATGGAAACTGAATACGAGAGTGAAGAAGAGGTGAGTATTAACCTCTCATATCCTTTTGAGTATCTCTCGAACTCTATGACACAGCATGTTAAGCCTTTGTATATCAAAGCCTTCTTCGATGGGATATAATTGAACCGAGTCTTGGTGGATAATGGGGCAGCAGTGAACCTACTACCGAAATCTTCCTTGAAGAAACTAGGGAA